AAGAGATTTCAAAATGCCAAATTGATCATCTCTGTAGTTTCTTTTAGGCTACTTATTGTGGGTTTGTGTTTTAACAAGTAATACAATTTTTATGACATTTGCGCTGGCATCTTAACTTATCCTTAACTGGCAACGCACTGTTATTTTTCACAGCATGTGCATATGCGTCTTGGTTAAAACTGTTTTTGGTTGAAGAAAAAAAAATTGCCTCACATAAAAACACACAGATTATGCGAACAAATAGGCCATCAGACTTACAAACAGATGTTCTCCTTAATAATACTACTTCAAGAACTATCCTAAAACATTGGGGAATTCACACAAAGATGTTTGTGTAAGTAATATTTGACAATAATATGGATTGTTTTGTACATCAAGGAAAGCCAGAAAGGTTAAGACCAGCCAATAGATTGTGTAATATGCATCTTTTTATGGCTTTTGTCAAAATGATTTTAAATGATTAAACCTGTTAGTACAGCCACCCCTCCCCACCCCCCTACCCCTCATCTTGCTTCCTCTTGTTTTACCTCCCTCCTACACTTTTGGCCTCCTCATGGGCTTTGACCCTGAGCCTACAATACAAGGCCTTGCTCACCTGGTGGAATTCTCTTTATTTCTGTTTGAAGATGAGTAAGATTATATTCAGTTGACTCTTCTTCATGCCTTGAAGTATATTTATGTTTATTCCAACAAATTAGATTTTAAACCAAATTTGACGTTTACGTCAAAATTTGTATTCCCTTTCTGTTTCTCAGACCAAACACTTAACTGCATCTACACTCACTGCACCCAGTTCTTCAACACTGAGTAATCAACCTAACAACCCCTTAAAAATGTTTAAATTTTATTTTCCATTGTATTTGAAATGAGATCCAAAATCAGAAATCAATTGGGATGAATTCAGTCACATAATATTTCCATACACCATAACATACCTACCTATGAAGAGACTGCTTTGTATGTGCATAGATGAACAGGCAGTCTTTACAGTGAAGGTCCCTGTGGCCCTTGGAGCAGCTGAGCCCTGAATATTCATCTCCACCTCTGCTATTCTGTAGATGTAAATTTGAAGCACACACTGACTGACAACTGGGGACCATACACATAAACACATGTCCAAATGGCACATATTATTGAATAAAACTGTATGTGTTGCTCCATAAGGTTTTGCCTCTATCTGTTTCAGTTATGCATGAAATAATAAGTGAATCATTTAACTGAGGAATGAGTGCACCATGAGAGCTTGCATTTCTGTGGAGACACCTTGTCAAACCAGAACACGCAGGACCTTTGGATTCCCAAAACACAAGGCAAACTGAGATTCCGTGTTTCAATTAGCAATGGGCTGGAGAGGAATTAAGACATGCTAATTTGAATCATGGTGCTAATCCTAGTGAAAAGGCACAACCACTGTGGCATAATCAGCAAAACCCCAGGCATCTTATTACATAGATACATTTAGGGAATTATTGTTAAAATGTATATGCAAGGGATCATATGGTTTTCAATAAAGATGATCAAACTGACTTACAGTTTGAGATGCTATATTGGAAAGAGGTGGACACATGAAATCACAAGCTCTTGGAACCAATCAAGGAAGTTGTTGCTACAAATCAGGTGCTGTGGGTTTAGAATAAAATCATAATATCCCGTAATATGGCATTCAAGTCCATATCGGTAATTAGACTGGCCGACACAATAGTCTGATAGTGTGTCAGCTATGGCCTGACAGAAGAAGGAAGCACAGGTGAGACTGAACAAAGACCTGGTGAGGGGAGGGCGTTTCACATCTGCCATCTACTGGCAAAAAAAAAAAAAAATCGATTAAACTTACAGATGGTCGCTTTAAATGAATCTATCTCTACAGACAAGAAGGTGATGCCACAAGGCCAAGTTATAGATCAGATCTGTGGACAAACTACCATGCTGACAGTAAGAATGGATATTTTTCAGGGTATATTTGAGCAATTACACCTCTAATAAAAAATGCAAGATAAATAAGTTGAATGCCATACTGTGGAACATTCCAGGCAAAGCAACACCTATGTAGACAAGAGGATGGCACACACTCCACCAGAAAAGTTGCATAGTGCCCCTTTAGTTTACCATGGTGGAAATGCCATTGAATTTATTTAAAAATTATCAACACCATCACACTTACAACTTTAAATTGGTCACTTAAATTACAAACTTCAAGTCAGTTAAATGGTTTTCTAATCCTAATTGGCCAGTGTATGAAGAAAATGCAACTTTGACTGTCTATGGCTGAAATTATACTCCTTTGCACTTTGCAAGAAAATCATTGAAGTTACTCAAAACTTTACTTGAAATAAACTTTAGATTTAAATTTTGGCTGTGAAAATGTTAACATGTTGTTGAAGTGAGGAACAATAGACTATTATGTTTTCATATTCACACTCTGCCACACCATGAATGTTTATTCATGTCGATCAGTCACATGATTTTCTTGATAGTTCTGAGGACTTTTGAGTGTTTAAAAGAACAACACATATTTATTTTGAAGTGTCAATTGTGATGACAACAGCCCTAAATTTTCATCATTTGAAACACATCCTTATGGGTCTATGTTGTTATTCGACAGTCAAAACAGGAGAACAGCATCTCAATGCTCCAAGTGTGAGTGAATGAATACATTATAATATAAATAAATGTGAACAGCCTTGCAGTTTTCACGTGTGTAGCCCTATGAGCTCAACATATTGCTGTAGTGAGTCTATATAGGTGAATTTTTCTTTAGAGCATTATATGGATCTTTTATTTGCCTCTACAGAATATATCAAGACAAATACAATAAAAAGTATTTTATTTATTTTACAAATGTTATACTGTTAATGCACAGTAAACTATATTTTTGGAAACAAAGCTAAATAATCTGACAAAAATGACATTTGAATTTATATAACTGGTTTTATATAAATCAAAAATTCTCTCTTGATTCTTGCCACAATCAGGAATATGCTGAAAAGTAAGACATACTATGTTCTCAAAATACAGTTTCAGTGGGAGTACACTGAATGAAGCAGAGAAACTCTGTGTGTTGCAGCAGTACAGCAGAAGATATGTTTGTTTAACACTAAACAAGGCATATGACTTATGTTTTAATTTAGGCCTAGGTCCATAAAGGCTTGAAGCACCAACATTAATGAAAATGGAAACGGTATTGGGTTAGAGCAGTAGTAAGAAGAAGCCTACACAATATTTAAATGTTTTATCATTATTTAAAAATAGTAGCTTACTTAAAGTAATATATAGTGAACTTGACTCATAGCACCCCCTTCTGGCTAGTTAGGTTATTTGAAATGTAAAATTTGATAAAACATTTTGAAAACCACATATTTTTTAGTTTAACTGAGACATATCAATAAGAATGCTTTGCCTGGCCTGGAATATTCCCAAGCCACCTTTCTTTCTAATTCATATCTTCACATATTCACCTAAAAGGAAAGAAAAAAGCCAAACTTGAATCTCAAATAATGTATTCCTAATTGAGTAATTAAGCATTTCAGATCTGATTTGAGATTGTCCTTATGGGAATGTCAGTGACATGCCACAGTCACTTTAAGCCTTGAGAAAAATCACAGCCCAGTAAATTGCTTTTGCTGTGTTAAACTAAATACAATCTATTGAAGCCTAAGGCAGAACACAATCTCTTATTCAACGTACATACTTACCTGGAAAGAAGCCTGGCTGCAAAGGTTAATGTTCCCAATATCTTAGCAGCCTTTGCTTAAACAAAGCACTGTTGCTGGTTGCCTTGGGCTGTGTCTTATATTAGTGAATATATGTGCAGAGTGCCATATAATAGCGTAAGGTAAAGTGTCCTTGCAGGGACACTCCTCACAGCTGCCCTGAGGCAGACTGACAGAGATGCCTGTGTAAACATCCTCTTCCTTCACTGTCTCCAGTGTCATTACCTAGTCATTCATAGTGGTGTCTTACACAGGAAAAAACTTAAAAAACAAAACAAAAAAACAAACAAACAAACAAACAAACAAACAAACAAAAAACTCCGGATGCATATTTTCTGATAGTTTTGGGGGATTATTACATTTAATTTACAATAGTATCTTAGGATATATATATATCACACTGAAATGATGAGCACCACACGTCAGGATAGCGCCCTCTATTGGGAAAATACAGACGCCTTTCCTACACGGTGAGCGGTCCACCGGGGACTTGTAAAAAGAAAAGGGTTGCCTTAGCAACTGCAGATAATAAAAGTGCAACCTCTTCAGTGTACCCCATCTACATTATCTGACAGTGAGAAGCCTCTTCTATTGGCCTGAAAGACGAGATCAGCGCACTAAAGAACTATTGCAATACACTGGCGTCATTGGCCAGTTGTTGTGCAAGCGTGGCTGCATCATGGTCCTGAAAAATGTTATATTTTAGCCTATATGGCTACATGAGCAAGTAATCTGATTCTCTGTCTCTGTTTAAGACATTACGTTAGTTTAAATTGAAGGTTAGACTAGGAAAACTCCAGAGAAGACTTATGAATAGGGCTATTGCCTGTTGCAGGCGCAGTAGTCTTTTTTTGAAATTTACCCTACTCAAATGCCTAGATCATTTCACATGTTGTCATTAGAAAGGAGAAAAATGTCGATAGACCTCATACAGAGGCTAACCAAGGCTACGTCCACTAAAAGCTAAGATGAAAACATCAAATGATTTACATGTGGACAACGAGGCGCTGTCCATTACCTGGGGTGCTGAAATAAATTTACTCCTTTCACTTACTGTCAAGAGGTGATATTGTTTTCTTTTTCACTAAATATTTAATAAAAAAAATTATCACTGCAAGATAAAGTTAACCAAGTCACGTCATGCAAGTGAAAACGACAGCTCGTAGTTCAAATGCCGGCTGTAGCGTGCTGTTGCGTGCTGTTGCGTGCTGTTGCGTTTAACACGTAGTGGTGGCCTCCATTCTTCATCATCAAGTAGGATGTTTTCTTACGCTGTCCGATCTTTTAAAGGTTAAATTACGTCGTGGGCGTAGCGGCTCCTTGTAATGGCGACCGTGCCGTAGCTGTGCCTAGGCTTTTGAAAATGAAGCGGAGAAGAAGTTATTTCTTTTAATTAACGCGCCGAGGTTCCCTCCTGGAGGACTTTGCGTCTGTCAGTGTCATCATTATACGAGGCGTACTTAGCTGTGCAATTCTACTTTTGTGCTCTCGAAATGATGAAGCTCAAGTCTAACCAGACTCGGACGTACGACGGAGACGGTTTCAAGAAGCGGGCCGCTTGCCTGTGTTTCAGAAGCGAGAGCGAGGAGGAGGTGAGTCCGGGGCTGTGGATGTCTGCTAGGCCGAGCTAACTTTAGCTCACAGTAGCATTGAATGCTGTCTATCCGCTATAAACTGAAATACTGACCATCACAAATGTTGCGTACGTTGTTTCTCCTGAATGAGACCATAGTTCATTCTGCGTTCATCAGTAATGTATAATTTTTAATTAATTTCATTTTATTTTCCCATGTTATGTAAGCATTTATAGCAACATTGAGCTAGCCTGTTCGGCTCTGCTGTGTGGAAACCTGTGATAGAGCGACCTGTTAACTCATTGCTAAGGCTAACTAGCCGTGTTGCTCCTGTGGCAGCCACAGCCCACTCACAACCTGTTATCAGCTTAAACTTTATACATAACCAGGCCTGTTATCCGAAAGACCATACATCGACTTTGTCTTTCTATGCATTACGAACTATGTCCCATGATGTTATAATGAGGCTATCTGGTTGTTTTAGGGTACTAACATTGACATTTACACTCATTTTAGCCCGTTAGCTGGTTAATGTTTACGTTTTCCTGCTGGCTGCATAACATGATTGTGTCATGTATGATGGACGCAACACTCAGCGCTGTTACCCTTTGCTCATGTTTTATAACGCCTCCTTCCGAGCGCTTTCCTACTACTGCCACTAACAAGGCTACCATGCACAAAGTTTTTCAGTTCAGATGTGATTTGGAAAGCTGATGTTCAAGTCAACAAGCAGCACAAAGATGTCTTTGTAGTTTGTAGCAAAATATTTGACAAAGAAGTGGAGACGATTATCCTAATACCTCATGCCGGTTACAGTAGGGGCCTGATTTTTAGCCGCACAGTGGTTTACCTCTGATTACAGGAAACCATCAGCGTGCATGTAGTTGTTATAGAAAATTGCCAGTAACTTAAAAGTCCAGTATATGACAACATAGCAAAGGGTCTTTCCATTACATTATATTGTGTCCACCAGTACATACAGAAATAAATCAGTTTATTCTTTTAAATGGACTTCGTATATACTTAAATATAGCCTATAATGAAAACATGCCTCTGTTTTTCCTTCCCTAAGATTATCACCATTCATTTCACAGGTGCTGCTGGTGAGCAGTAGTCGGCATCCAGATAAATGGATAGTTCCTGGAGGGGGAATGGAGCCAGAGGAGGAGCCCAATGTTGCTGCAGCTCGAGAAGTTTGTGAAGAGGTTAGTTTTGTTTTAGAATAAAATTAACACATGATAATTGCTGTCTACTTACAGATGTTGCAGTATTATATGTGTATGTATTTCAACCAGAGTGCAGTTTTATAAGTCTTCTCCTTGCATGTGGTTACAGAAGGCATTGAATCACAGCCAGGAATATTGTTCTGAGAATACATCTCCATTTGTTGAGGATGATCCTAGGGTTGTAGATGGGTAGTATTTCACCTCTATTAAATCATGTCTGTATTTAACTCTATTCTCTCAGAACTCAAAAGTACAGTCCAGTGTCATAGCCCCATCTCCGACAGCCCCACATCAAAAGAAGGTCCTGCAGAGATTCAATTTTCTTTCAAGAATGACATTTTATAGGGAGGGTATGTAGACTGTTCTTACTGGTATTAAAAACAGAACCACAACTGAACTGAACCTGGGGTAGTCCTAACGTAATGAAGAATCTGGCAACCCAAAGTGTGAGGGTCACTCTGACTGAATAATAAGCTTGAGAACCAAATGAACCAAAGAAAAACATTAACAACTTGGCCACCATGCCCATTCTTTTGTAATTAAAAATAGATCAGTGTTACAAATGTTATTTTCAAGACAATGTTATCATGAATCCTAAATCCTACAAAAAATTACTAAAAAAACAAAACAAAAAATGTACTCTCCTTCACATGTATACCGGCATTTCCACTTTGTCAGAAACACTAATATTGTTTGTAACTTTATATTTCCTTGGATACACAGTTCACCCCTTGTGCTGGTTTAAGCCTCTTATTAGACGGTAGTGTAGCGGGGTCTATCCTAATCCTTACAAGCTGATTCTGATGACCATATGAGCAGAGTCATTATTACTTTTGGATATGTGCCGATGTGACAGTGCAGAAGCAAGTCAAAGGTTTGAATCCTTGTTGATAGTCTTGTAGCCAATAGCAATGAAGTACCATAAAACACACAATAGTGGTTTAAAACTTGCAGCTTCAGTGTAGCTGCAGCAATTGAGCTGAGAAACATTTAGTATCATAAAAACCTGACACTGTGACCTAATCCAATGGCATGTTTTAGGGTTTCTAGTGGTGGCCTTTTATTTCTTTAATTTGATCTAGCTGAAGAGTCAGACCTGAAGGCTGCGATAATGTGTCTATGGTACAGTACATGGAGTCAACATTTATTTATAGACTGAAACTGGAACCAGAAGAAGCTGCAAAGATGTCCGAAGTGCTCTGGGCCTTGTATCAGAATACAACATGCATTTTACTTCTCAGTCAAGAACAACATGGCAAAGAATGTTGTTCCTCTCAGATTATTTGATTTATTTCATTTTTGTGATATTGAGTTAGATCTATTTAAAATGTGTAATACATTACTCTATACAGTAGTTTGCCCCATGATTAAGTGTTTTGTTTATTTTTTATCCTTGCAGGCTGGAGTTAAGGGGACTTTAGGACGATTAGTTGGAGTATTTGAGGTAGACTTAAGTACAACTGCATACATACTAAATTCATAATTGTGGTTTTGGGAATGACTAAATGTTTTTATTTTCTATCAACAGAACCATGAGAGGAAGCACAGGACATATGTGTATGTGCTCATTGTGACAGAAGTGCTGGAGGACTGGGAGGACTCAGTCAACATTGGTAAATTACTACATCTGTTATTACATGCGTTAAAGGTGCATGATTTTTCCGGATGGAGGGTCCACCACCTTCTTGTCTCCATGGAGATGTTACTGAATAAATTCAAGATGGATACAGTGAATGCAGTACTGTGGAACATTCCAGGGAAAGCAATAACATATCCAGAGAGACAAGCAGTTGGCATGAGCACCTTTCATGATACTGAACGCTTTAACTTTTATCCTGGTATCTTGTTCTGTGTACAGGGAGAAAAAGGGAATGGTTTAAAATAGACGATGCCATACAAGTGTTGCAGTGTCACAAGCCTGTGCAGGCCACCTACTTTGAGGCTCTTCAAGAGAGTTGCTTGAACACCAACGGGACGCCTTTGGTGGCCACGATAGGTGGCGACTTGTCTCCTACCTACAGCATCAATCAGAGCTCTGTCTCAGGTATCAGATAACTAAAACCACAGCCCTGATGCCCCCTGGAGCTTTCGCTACCACTTGCTCTTATAATTGTGTAATTTCAATTATCTTATTTTGTCTCAATGACATGATTTGCCTTGCCAACTCCTTTGTGCCAGAATGTGGCACAGTCTTGATGACAAGTGATGGGTGAATAGTCTGAAAACTTTGTAAATGTAATTTTATGACCGAACATTTTTTGTTTTGTTTTCCTTTTTACTTACTGCATGTCCCTTGGCTACCGTCATTCTCTCTCCGACGCGCCCTTAGCGTGATGTTTTATTGAATGCAAGAACTACTTTTTACTGTTGTAATGTAAAGTGTATATCTAGTGCTTACGCTGAAGGCTCTTGGATGTCTTTAATGTCTTTTAAATTTTGTTTTTTTGGTGAATGAATGTGCCCATTAGTGTTTTTCCTTCCCTTCAAGGGTAGAGATTTCTTCTATCCGTCTTGCATGAGCGCTGTTCAATGTTCACTTTCTGAAGTGAGCTGATGCTGACTTGTGCTAAGGTTATTCCTTACTGTGGTTGTTGTGGCTGTAATCTAAAGGATGAGGCCCCCAGTAGTCACTCAGTTTTAAATGTCAAGAGTTTCTCCTATTCGAGGAACTAGCCATGCACTACACTCTTCAGTGGAGCCTATTGTTTCAGCAAGAGTGGAAGAATGTCATCAGAGTCTAGAATAAACCACATGTTCACAGTGTCTTTACCTCTGTCTAAATAATCCTTGTTTTTATTTTAACTACATGTGACTTAAGTCTTCCTCCACACTCAGAGAGGGCAGAAGTAGATTTCTAATTATGGACTTACAGCACATATCACATAAGTTATTAAAAGTTTCAATAATTAACTTTCCACTTTCATTTTTTAATTAAAATGTTTACATTATTGTTTGACTTTAGTGGGCACTTTCATTATGAACATCCGTATTTTATTTTTTACCCCTTGTTTAGTATTTAAACTGCATCCCCAAAACACTCAAACATCAGTTTGACATTGAAAGTAATAGAATCTATAATGCTGTTTTTGGCAAGATGCAGATTAAACAGGCCTTGTACAGTTGGAGACCTTGTTTTTAACATGTAAAATGCTTTGGATACTATTGTTTCTCTAACGTCTGGCAAGTCTCTTCAGCCAAGCTGCTACATGCGCCTTGGCATGAAGTGGCTGGCTCAATACTGTGAAACTGGAGGCTCTGTAGATAGCATGAAAAGAGGTTTTTATTATAAATTGTGTATTTCTGTATAGATCAAAAGGTGAGTGCTAATGACAGACACCTATTACATGTATTGGTGCTCCGTGTCATTTCAAATGAGGCTGATGTACTAGCAAACAAGTGGCTTTGGAGTTTTATTAGCACTACTTCTGAGGCTAAATAAACAGGAATGTGGCTGAAAGATCAATGATTTAATCCCAAATAATCTCTTAAAATAAAATGGCTCACTAAAGTATGCACTTAAATTCTGGGCATACAATTTAAAAATGTAGGCCTCCTTAAATCTGCTCTGAAAAATGTTGTCTTGTGTGCAGGACAGAGCTGCTCGTCCCAATATGAAAATTGAGAGGAAGGGGGGTTGGGGTTAAGATTGTGATGAACAGCAGTGACAATTACAATCTTTATCAACTAGGTGTGGAGGTCAAAGTCTCTAGTGATAATGCCCGAACTTCATGAGACCATACACTCAATTGGGATAAACGTAACCACCTATATTGACCAGAACATTTTCATTGATTTTGTACATTTTGTAATACATTTGACATTTCAGATTACTTTTCAGATTTTAAGTAACCACTCTCACACCAAAGGCTTGGGTTAATTCTTAGGTTAATTAACAGCTCCATCTCATGATTGAAATTGCAATTCCATTTCCATTAAATTATTCCAAATCATCTCACATTGTACTTCCAGCCACAGACCTGAGTCTTGAAGTTACATGTAAATGTTGTCCAATGTCACTGGAATTGTTATTGTTTGTCATTTGGGACTCTGGAATGAAACCAGTGTGAGAAGACTGAAGATTGTAATATAAATGTGCCAACAAATAAACACCAGTATTTCACACTTCAATGGATCATTTCTCATTCATGCACAAATGAGCTCTAAACTCTTAAAACATCAAGCTACCATAACTGAACAAACCGCAAACCCTATATTAACAGATATGGAAAGAGTACACGAGATAAGTTTTTTTTTCTTTATTATACATAAAGGGATTGTAAAATTTACTGTGGCTGCTGTCCTCTGCCGCGTCCAAATCCACCCCTCTGTAAGAGTAAGCAATGTTAATGGACTTTAATGTTGGGCAAGATTGCATGTGTATATGTATGAGTATACCATGTATTAAAATACAACTTACAAACTGGAACTCCGTTGCTGCTCCAGCACCAGCCTCTGCTTTCTTGTCAGCGCCAGCTACGAAAGAAAAAAATTAAATACGTAATTTAGTCAAAATGCACTCTCCTTCACCCCCCCAAAAAAATTAATGAAACCTTTTCCCGTCAAGCAAAAGAAGCTGTACTTACGAGGAGCAGCAGATCTTCTGTATGCATCTCTATCAGCCTCACCACGGTTAAGACGAGCAGGCCTCTCTCCTTCCATTCCTGTAAACATGTAAAACATGTTCATGTTGGACCAAAAACCCAAAAGAGAACAGCCACTTTTACAGATAAGGGTGGGAAACACTGCCACATAATTAATCTTGAGTATTCCAATAACAATGCAGACATCTGTTAAATCATTTATTGGAATGTATTGGATTATATATGAGACAAATGAAAAGACTGCAAAATTTACTGCCAAAAGTGTAGAAATATCCCATTCTTACTTGGAAGAAGGTTTCCTTATTTTATTTAATGGTGCCTTATGAAGCTTTTCATAAGAAAATAATTTTGTAGATCTTCAAAAGATTCACAATATTTCAATAATTCACCTTCAACTTCAGTTCGACTTCTAGGAAACATAAGTACTTACCCTTGGGCCTGGGCCTTGCAGTCTCAGGACGGGTCTGGCGGCGCAGAGTTGCGGGCACAATCTCTGGGGGAAGGTGGAGGAAGTCTCTCAGGTACTGGATGCCCTCATTTGTGAGGTACCAGTAAAAATGGCGCCAGGCAAATTGCTCCTTGACATACCCACAGGACTTCAGGGACTGAAAATGAAAAATATTCAATTGATAAGAGGCAGACATCGTTTTGTGATCGTTCATCCCTGGACGTTCGCCTCTGCAGGACATAATGCGAGTGGATCAAATCCAGAGTCTAATTACCTCCACCAAGGAGGTTATGTTTTTGCCGGCGTTTGTTTGTTTGTCTGTTAGCAACATAACTCAAAAAGTTATGGACCGATTTTGATGAAATTTTCAGGATTTGTTGTAAATGTGAAAAGGAAGAACTGATTTCATTTTGGGGGTGATCCGAAAGAAATCCTGGATTCTGGATCACTTTGAAATTGTAGTTAACATTGTGGTAAATGGGGCCAAAAATTTTGTTTCTCAATATCTCGGTTAATTATTGACCAAACCCCATGAAATTTGACTCCGGGATGGACAATGGGATCCTCTTTCATATTTCAAAGGCTGATCCGGATCTGATCCAGAAGACTGATTTTATCGCAATTTATATAAAAAATTGGGGTAGTCCTTGGCGGAGGTCTGCGCTCCGAGTGCTTTTCTAGTTTACTTATGTAGCCATGGAATTTTACTTAAGGATGAGATTTACAATTTATTTACAAATCACACACATCAAGAGCTTAAAAAGATTGCTGGAAGGTTAATCAGCATGGCGCTAAAGCATCTTTAAAGATTACTCATGAATGGGGAAAAACAATGGGCTTCTAGGTGACTAGAACGTTTGACCTGTTTAGTGTCAGATTTTCCAAAAGCCTGACTAAAAGTCTACATAAACAAAAAAAAGGTCCTCAAAGCTCGGGCCTCTTTCAGCCATAACACACAAGGGTCAGAGTTTGTGGAACAGACCACACATTTTGCCAAATGCCAACCTGACATGAAGTCATAGATGCAACATTTCTCTATGTACGCATGCTTTAGATCCCAGGTGATTTTAAGACTTGATATCACATCACAGCTTATGCAGTTAGAGTGAAGTTAAATAAAAGCTGCATGTCTCATCAGACAAGTGCCCATCTGTATTTTAATAGGCTCTAGTCACCCTTACCGAAGACATTTGGAAACATGTGGATGCAGACTTCCTTTGGGCTCTATTGGTATAGTAGCTCTGGGAAAACTGAGAAAATAGCCCAGTTTTCTTCATCTAGATGTGACTGCATTTTATTCCTTTTATAAATTGCCTACTTGTGTATTATAATTTGTCTAATTTAATAAATAAAAATATAGATGTCATTGTAGCATTCAATCATGTTCGGCAGCTCAACGGTTACAACCGTAATAGATCCATGGTTACAATCCGCTGCCTGTAAGTGACATCGAAGATGCGATTCAAGTCACATCCCACATGGAAAGCTTTGGAAGGATGTGAAGAGCGCTGCTGCTGAATCCATGTTTTTAATTACATGTCCAGTGTCAGTAAATACACCAGAAGGCGTCATCCGCATGTTTCCAAATGTATTCCATTAAGTGTGAATAGTGCCCATTAGAAAGTACTAACAGTGAAGAATGTAATAGGTTTTATCTACAACTTTAGGAAGCACCTAGAGAGCTCAATGAAATGCGAAATGGGTCTTATTAGTGTGTTACTTTATTATTTCTCCAGGAGTGAACCTATAGAATGTCTTCATGCCATGGGAAAAGTATGCTTCAAAAGTCACGATATACATTTAGTGTACGATTTCAAATCTGTTGGTGACGTTTGTCAATCAAAAAAGGAATTGCCTCCTCATAACATACCCTGGTTATACAACATGTTTGTCTCACCTGCATCGCTTTCATCACATGAAGGTTGGGCACGTTCTTATCAGCTAGCTCGGGATGCTTGGCCAGGTGGACGTCTTTTTTGGCCACCATGACTCCCTCTTTGAAGAGGAGCTCATAGATAGCAATGCGATTCTTCTTGGGCATCAGCATCTGAAAGACCGAGGGGGTTACGCGTTTGCGAAGCTAACCGGACAGCCTGCGTGCATGCTTAGTGTAAATTACAAGTTACGTAGTATGCGTAAAATTGAAATTTCACTTTCTATATGCCTGCAAAATGACATTTTCGGTTATTTGAATCATTAGCGGCTGAGAGGAGGTTAAATCTTCTCAACCTTTATTCGAGAGCGGCAACCGACGCTAAACATCGTACCGAAACACTTGCCCTAGTTCACACACTAAATACAACCAATTACCATGAGTTTGGGACAAAAATATGTTGATATATGTGTTAGTAATAACGTAGAGAAATGCCTAATGTACGTTATGTAACCAGTACTCATACGATGATAAAGATATATTCGGATTCTTTCACAGAGTTTGATTTTACCTTTACGGTTGATAAGTGACCGGAGCCGGAAGGAACGACTGACGTTGACCCGGAAAGTTTATTCCCGCGGAGTGTGACCTGTGGAAATAATGCACCCTCGTGTGGTGTGGAGTAGAATATAAAATGCACGTTTATATTTTATTCATTTTTATTACAATGGCAATTGTGCTGATACTAAATGAGAAGAATTTTTTTTCTGATTAAAATATTTTTTCATCAAAAGGGAATGAAACATACTACATTTAATGTATCTCCATGTGCTTCGTTTATATGTGTCTGTTTACACAAGGTAGGCTATGCGCTGAAAATGTATGCTTTTTTAATTTTTATTATTATAACTGTAAATTGTAACTGAGCATTTACAGTGTGTTAAGTGATACAGTCTTGTCGGAACAACTAAAACATACCTTTACTTTGAAACACAAACCGGATTAGCAGATCGCCTTCACTGACTGTTATTGACTGTCTTTACCCCATCTGGCGATCCATTACTGGCGGCACAACAGACAGGGCTCTTCGGGAGGACAATGGTCGTGTTTTGAAGGTACCCAGAGATAGTGGGATTAATCATTTCCATTAGGTATGATATTTTTCAAATCTAAAATATTTTTATATCGTTTGTATTCATGATGCGTCCAAATTTGCTGCCCCCTGTAACGTTACCGGCGTGATGGGGGGATCTGTAATCAGCTTGCAACGCACATTTTCCTTATCGGTAAAACGGGGTTCAATGAATACATAAATGCAATGTTTAGGGTAGAGATTCGTGCTATTTACAGGCTCCACTTTTGCCAGTATGGTTAGCTTGCGGTCTTTGGATAAGCAGGCACTATACTGTACAAGACCTGAGCCGAACCTTTGCCAGTCTGTGAACACCAAGTACTTTGCAAAGCTTAGATTTGTGATATCAGAGCCTTATCTTTATCAGACATGTGAACGTTTATGTCATGGCGAGTGTTAGTTATGTTTGCACTGTGTGGCATAGTGCGAGCACCGGGAGCCAATGGTCTGTAGAGGTGGAAGTAGCAGATGACTGAGGGGGATATGGTTGATCCCTTGGGAAGAGGCCTGAGCTTCTAAACCACATTTCTTTGATTTGTCACAGAGGAGCAGCTGGTGGTTTGGGCTCTGAGATACTGTGACCTATACCCATTACGCACACTGCCGTCAGGATGTCTCTGTCCACGGTTCTGAACCTTTCCCTTGGGTCGACGGGCTCTTCCCCATCTTATCAGACATGCATTTGATTAACTGTTGATAATATGTTTCCAAAGGTTTATCTCACTTATATAAGACTATTGGAAAGTTGTCATTACAAATTCAATACCCCTGTACAATGTAATAACCCATTCGCAAACAAGCAAATTCACAATACTTTTCACTGGCAAAGTTGATATAGTTCTTCAAGATGCACATTTTTAAAATTAATATAATCTAAGAACTCTTCTTTATGTTGTGTTATTCATTCACATTAATATTAATATGTTCAGAGTCTCCAGTGAGGAATTACCTTAATTAAATTACATGACATATACCCATTTAATTTGTGTCTCTTTTTAAAATTTGTCTAGTTAAGGATGGGAATGACAGTTGGTGCAAATATGTATGTTAGCTTCAAATCTAAGTGCACTTTTCAGTACCTTATTAGTAAAATGGATTAGTCTTTGTTACCCTCAGCTGCTGTCTAGCATTTAATTACATTTCACTATCCAGCAATGCTATAGATCTGATCCTCTCATAACCTAAACAATCCTTTGTGAATTAAAGCTATCATGATGAGCTTTTAGTGTCTCTTTCAATGGTACATGATGGTCATTCTGTCCTCTCAAGGCTTGCATTATTTTCCAGTGCATGTTGCGATTCATTGGTACGCGTGGACTGGTGGAGCTGGAGTTTTGGCCCATGCTGAGTAACAGGAGCCGAGAATAGGATCCTCGCTGGGGATCAGAGCAGAAATGCAGGCCATGTTTCCTTAAAGGCCCATGGGACTGCATTCTTAGACAGACAGTGACCTTTGCAGGCACGAGCAAATCGAAGCTCTGTAGGAACAAGCTGCAGTACAATTTGAAAAACTTTGATATTTTTTTATTATAATATGAAGCTGAGTTTAAATTTAGAGTAATATAAATGAAGGCTGTCCATAGAGAGCTGGTGAGCTCAAAGGTGGCATACGTAGCTAATCTTTATTTCAATAATTATTAAATAGAGTTGTTAAAAAAAAACAAAATCTTATTGTTTTCTTTTATTTACACTTGTTGCTTTATTCTATTGCTTTTTAGTGTTTATTTCTTTTTCTTTTTTTTTGAACAGCAGAGTTACTTTCAACTACCAATTCAGTGTTGATGTTGGCCACTGTCTCCTCTAAAAATTGTTTTGGCATTTTCATTTTAAATTGGAAAATACCAAATGATTCTGGTCTATATTAATGACAGATGACAGCTTGGCCAATCTGACTCATTCACTGCAACAGTAGCTCCGATAAGTTCTACAAGCTGAAATAACCCTTGTAGCTGCATACTGCTCACAACTACAGTACAGTATATCTCTGGGGTAAATGTGTTATGACAGGTCACGGGTATTGCCATTTCCAAAGGGGCACCAGGTTAACATCTATAAACAACACAGCAATAGTGAAGTCATAGGACTGTCTATTGAGTGCTGTGAGGGAAGTAGCCGAGAACAAAGTTATTCAAATCCTCTGCTGTGGTCTGATATGATCATGTGAGTCAGTAACCTGGACTAGTTTCCAGAGTGAGTTGAGAGGAAATGAATATAACTAAATAAAAAGCTATATTTCTATCTGTCTTTTTATGTCCTTATATAAGACTGAAACCCACTTACTGAAGAATAGCCTGTTCAAGTTCTACAGTTTAAATCACTGTTTGGATAATTACTGGATAGTTCTTGTTTAACCAGCTTTAACTACAGATTTGATATATATATTTCATCTTTCAATCTTTCAACCAACATTTGCTATACTATACATTCTCCCACTTCTAGTTGACAGTAGTCTGTAACGTGTTAAGGTAAATATTATGGAGGATAAGCCATTTCTTTGCTTTCTAAGTGGTCCTATAGCACTTTCCTTGCTGCATGGCTGAATCTGCTGTGGACAAATTAATGTGTAGCTCTTAAAGCTATTAGCACTGTGTTGAGTTTCAGCTGGACAAGGCTCATTGCACACTCACACTCACTCACACACCCACACACACACACACACACACACACACACACACACACACACACACACACACACACACACACACACACACACACACACACACCACCAGTAGCAGCACCAGGGCAAAAGTTATTGATTAGAAACCAAGCAGAACAGAGGGCTCCCCACACATCACCTTCTCAAGCTCATCTCTCGAATTCATTCATTTGTTATAAACTATGTGTAGGAAATTGTTTTGACTAAATATATGGGTAACATTAATGTTCACTTTATTGTCCCCACAGGGAAATTTGTCCTCTGCATTTTGCTGCTGGGGCAACCTGTCAGGAACAATAGCTCCATGAATGGGACCATCTCCTGGTCATGAGCTAGACTTGGACAGGACTACCTTAGTTGGAGGATTTTACCTATTGTGTGCATGTTATGGGTTGATGGGGGAAACTGGAATGTCCGGAAGAGACCCACCCAGACACAAGGAGAAACACACACCACACAAAAAGGCCCATCTTCTAGTATGTGACTAGCTCTATGAAGTCAATCTTTGTGATTGATTGTGACATTCATAAATTACGCATAGAATGGATAGATTTAGCTGTTTGATAGCACCTCAGAGACTACTTGACATTTTATGTCAATAAGTTTTCTCTGAGCTTTCACATATTTCACAGGTGGGGAATTGAATGTAGTAAGTAAAATATTTAGCACTGCAACGTTACTGCCTCTGTTATTGTGAAAATAATTATTCAAGTGAAAATACAGATTTTTCCCAGATTGACTTCCATTTCCAAGTTAGTGATCAAGTGACTCAGAAACAGATTTTTCTGTTTCAGGATTAATAATTAGCATACAACAATCAGTAGTCTATAGCAGCTCATGTAATGCATTTGAAACTGAATGTGGAACTGTTTTTTAACTGAATGTAGATATATTGATCTATTCAATCTTTGCTGTAATTTTGAAAAAAATAGCCATCAGGTTCTGCTCAAATGATTCTCCAATAGTGACGATGATGATGAGGATGATGTTGGCGTGTTTACAGCATCGTGCCGTGAGTTTGTGCTTCGTGTCTCTAACAACCTGCAGATCAAATTGGATAGGTCTGTTTCTGGATCACAACCCTTTTCTCCAGTAAATCGGATGTTGTAAAATCACAGCACAAAAACAGAGTCAGTGATTAGATTGGAGCAGGAAAATGAGCAGACTTGCTGTACTATACGCTCTTTCTGTCCCTGCACGGGGGTCGTAAATTACTTCCTGCAATAATGGGATGTTACACAGGGGTCAGATAAAGGGAGCCCATTGGGAGAAACCTGATTAGATGGTACGCAGATGGCACACGCCAGTGTCTGTGGACAGCTTGTTTCTCCATTAAAACTGGGATCATGGTAGTTGTTTTGTGAATTACATAATCCACATAAAATATAATGTTTTTGTAATAAATGTAAGAAAAGCAAACTACCAATGCCATGTTAACGCACCTGTGGTACTTTGAATGGATAAGACAGGACAGAGTGTTAAACACAAAATATAACTGAAAAATCACTTAATAATCACTCAATAATCTCCTTTTGATCTTTATTGTAAGCCTATTTTTGGTGCAGAAGCCCGTCCTCTTCTCCTGTTGGCTAATTATTGGCATATTATGTGCTCTCATAGGTCAAAGTTCACCTCTGCAGTTCATATAGAAAGGTGTGTTGAGGTGTGCATGACATACCTGAACAGTTACTCTTCTTCAAGTTTATTCATTTGGAAAACATTAAAGGAGGTACACTAGGACTAAGCAGGTTGGAGGAATTTTTTGCTTTACATGTATTTTATCTCTTTGTTTTTGTGCCGTGAGACCATGAAATTGTTTTAAAGAAACCCGTGGGATTTCTCTTCAGTTCTACTGTTGACTGTTGATAAAGAAAATCTGAATTCCTTTCATCAGAGTTATTTGTGCTCACAATCTACCTGTAAGCAACCCATCCTCTTTTTATCTTGTTGTGTGTTGATTTAGTGATTTTTTTTTTTTTTAGAGAAATAAGATCATTATTATCATTAATAATTAATTTGCTGTTTGCCATATAAATTGGATATATTAATGCAGATATTTAGTATAGTTTTAGCTTTGAATCAATGTAGGTATATTAAAAGCTTAAACTTGTGATCTAACATGAGTGATAGTAAGATTACAAACTGACCTTTTCACTACACTGAGCTGTGAAGAGTAACCTTGTGTTCTGACAGATAAGGAAGAGAGTGTGCGGGGCCAGCCTCGGTGAGATGTAATGTTTAATTTTTGCTTTCAGTATAAGACATGCTCATATACTGTTGAAAATTAACATAGTCAATTCAAAAATACATATCTCCTATGCTTATTATAGCATAATAATAACCATAGAAAATTATATGAACAGTTTTATTTTTCCAATATCTCACTAGTTCAAGGATCAAATATTTACATTCAGAAATACTTTATTTTGTTATTATGACTTACCAGACGTTTACAGAGCCTGTCCATGTGAGAACAGTTCAGAACATCTTTCTCTCTGTTTACACTGCAGTCTGAATTATTCATGAATGGGACACTAATGCGTTGCTAAATGTGAGGAGGCCATCCAAAGCAGTTTGTCCAGGGAGAGAAACATTGCTCTTGTATTTGATGTGACCCAAATCTTATCTATGATGAGCATACCCTCTCAGTGCACATGTTAATGTTGTTATGGGGGAATCAGCTTTAGTCTAGTTGTTAAATGGCTGTTAACTAATTTAACTAATGTCAATGACACTTAATCACTATTACTAAATGTCAAAACACATATGGTGGTTCATTTATTTTCTTTTTAATCTGGTATTTATTATAACTAAAGCACTGAATATAATATAATATAATATTTGGGAGTGAAGAAAATGTATTGGTCTCTACTGTTCTAGTTTATTTTGGTGGGATCTGGATTTGGTATATGGACTAAGTGAAGATGCATCATTGAGAGTAGGAAAGGGATTCTGCTGGTTATTTTTGAACTAATACCATCAGGGAACCCTGGCAGAAGTTGAGAATTTATGCCATTGCTGGCTGGATAAAATTAAAGGGTGAGCAGAATGAGCCTCATGTAAGTTTCTTATTTTGGTTACCAATTCCTACAATTAGTTGGTTTAAACTTAAAAGGGCTCTCCTGTTTACACAACAAGTGTTTCTTCACGTGATGTTCTCTGCCTTGTCCTCGTCCTGACCTCTCCACTCAGCAGTCTGTGGTCTGACCACACTTCACTGACTTCACTCATGTGACGTCATGTCAATCAGCTTGGCATAAGGGCTAGTTTTCATATTCTGTGCTTAGTGTATTTCACTACAAGAAACAATGTTGCTTCTTGCCTCTAAGTTAAAGTCCATTTAATCTCATTATTAGAGTTTTTTTTTTAGATAAGTCTTTTACTTCATTTGCAGCTCTACATTCTGTCCACATTGCCATTATTATCTACTTATTAATACTTTTATGGCTTGCACGTAAACAGTTGAGGTATTGTTTGACTTTGAGCTAAGCTTATCTTCCTGTATCATGTGAATGCTCCCCATGAATGTAAATTCTTGGAGTATTAACATTTATTGTATTTGGCTTCCTTGTTAATATTAAAACATTTGTCACTGATTCCATAGCCGTATCTATTTTGCTCTTGGTATCAAGTTCACATAATTGTCTGTGTAAGTAAGCCATTGCCAGTATTTTGTGTTTGTTTTTATTTTCAACATTGTTTTTGGTGTAGGAACACAAAATGATTATAGATTCAGATACATCTCATTTATAGAATCATTTCCTCAAAACACTGTATACACAATGAACAGACAGACCCCATACCACCTCCTGTTATTCCATCCCTGCCTCTTGCTCTTTCTCCCCTCCCCTCCTCTGCTGCTTCTGCTCTTTGCTCTGTTCTCTTTCATAACACCACCAGAATATTAGCACGCCCATACTGTCTGGATATCCCTGTCACATCTCATCTACCCACACCTATCCCGCAGTGGGGAAGTGGTCTGGACAACAGGATATTGTCGCGATGATGAGAGGACCCCACGTGTGTCTGTTAGCTTTAGCCTTAGCTGCTTCTGCTTGGCCACATTATTGATGGAGCTCTGGGGGTAAGCTTTTGTTGTTGTTGGAGTGGGGGCTGCCCCTCTTAAGTCTTTTGTCTATATGGGAGGGTGCAAATATTGACTTGTGATGCTTTGTGGTGCTTGGGAAAATGGTTTAGACTTTGCTAATTATACTTTTGTGAATGAAAATATATCTTTTTTTTCTTAATCTTTGTTCTTTTGGTGGTCTTCAGTTTAGCTGTTATGCCAGTCTGAATCTAATGCATCACTATATTCATGGATTTCAAGTTATGGAAATGGTCCTTTGTTGAAATTTCACTTAATTGCTTCAAATCATATCTTTAATAGGAAAATATCCTCATGAAATCCTTCAAATCAGGAAGGAATCATTTACTTGAAACCTATGAATAGCCTGCTAAATCTCTAATATGATTTTTGAGTTATGTCTAAGGAGCAGAAGTTGGCAGTAAAAACTGCATAGCTAGTGTTTGCTTTATTTCATTGCTCCTCCACAAGCTACACAAGAGGTCCCCAGAACAAAAGCCCCCTCTTGGCACGTAGCTAATGGATTAACCAAGCATGATAAACACCCACTTCTATCCAGCCCACTCCCTCTCAGCTGCATCCGGACCATCGCTGTTGGGAACGGAAGCTATTTGAATATATTTCTTAGACAAACTCCATATTTTGGACACTCATCTTTATTAGTCTTTATTTCTCCATATTTTGCGTATTGCCAAAGTGTGGCTTTATCTGCCAGCTCACGTTTGACCCAAATACCCATACACTTCCTCTCTACCCCTCCCCCTGACCTGCCATCAAGTCTCAACCCTTTTATTTTAGCACTCAATTTTTACTTTTATCAATATGCGCCTGCAATGTACACATAAACAAAAATATATTGTGCATTATTTTATCTTATTGTATTTCTCAACGTTATGCCTAATGATTGTCATGTATAATTACATTTTCTGAATAGAACATATTAGATTTGTTTACATGTTTGAATTTGAATATGCTGATGCTAATGCTTTGGTTAAGCAAAGAGTTGTGGCTGTGGAGTAAAACAATACTCTGTTATAGTTTTAAATGTGACACCTTTTAGCTTGTGTTTTGAGAGACAGGGCATCTAGATTTGGCACGATCATTTTTACAGAGAGGCCCATAATCTATATATTATGCACTCGGCATTCTAATCTTTCCTGCATACATTTTTGTGCTCATCTGTGGTGTTGTTTACTGGCTAAGGTTTGTGATTTCTGAAAGGCCAACACTTCTATTGTTTCAACGTATGAGAGGAAATGTGACGCAAACCCTCGCACCACTTTATAGTCAACTCATCAATAACAACACAACGCTCTGAATCTAATGGTCTATATTGACATTTAGAATAACAGCCAACTCTGTAGTGAGGTTTTCAAATACAAGAGAGAGAGAATATGCCTAAAGGGAAGTGGAACCATGTCTCTCTTTAATAGCCAGTTATTACATATATTGATGAAGTCATTTCTGAGCTATGATGATGGAGATCCAAATGAAACAACCATGCTAAAAGCGATTGCCTTATAATACAAGCACTGTTTATCCCTAAAGAGATATTAGTAATGTAGCCTATATATATGTAAGTAAACATACTCCTGTCCCTGTCTTTCAGTGCATGAGAACCCTTCTCTCTGCTAAAGCCTGAAGTGACTCTGCCAAAGCTGGGACCATGTCTGGAGGCTACGACGAGACCGCGAGTCAGGAGGAGACCAGTGACAGCTTCTGGGAGGTGAGAGAAATCTGAGTGATCATTAAGATATACTAGTCTGCCATTTCTATTCCTACATACAGACATGGGCTGTCCAACTTTAGTTGATTAATAGGTTGATGAGTTTTTAGCTGAACAAAATGACTTGTTTATTGATTATATGATTATGATTATTTTTAGATTATAAGGATCTATAGGACACAAAAGTGGAGAGGAGAAGGTATCGATGAAACTAGCTGAACATTCGGGAGTGAATCATAAGTTTAATCTTCCTCATTATTAATACACTGTTTTCTTGTTCCTGTTCTTTTTTAAACTTGAGTGATTTTTGGGTCAGATCAGTTTTTGGTAGTTTTTTGCCACTGTCCTTTAGTCAACTAATAGTATTTAGTTGACCAACAAATTAAGTAGAACCCTTACTTGTGACATATGAAATATATTTTAAGCCAGCACAATCGGCCTAAAGTAAGTTCTAAGTTATTTAGTTATAGTATGTATTAGTACTATTCTGGCTTCCCTTGAAAACAGTTACACCATCAGCTACCCTCCCTTAGAACAAACAGTATCACGTAATTTGAAGAACAACTTCCCAGAAGCCAATTAAATATATATGAGTGCTGCTGCGTATCAACATTGACTCAAAGAAGCCAACGCACATGGAACTGGCAGTAATTTTAATATTATGTACATAAGCAAATCGAAAGGATCATTGTGTGCACTTTGTTTCTGTTTAGTGATAACTATATACAGAATAATACTGGCAGAGTTTCACCAATACAAGAATGCACCTGCTATTCTTCCTCCTGGCTCAAGCCCATGCCCTGTTTTCAGAATCAGCTCGAACAGCAAAGGTGCTCGGCTCTCACAACAGTCACTATATCAGCGTCAGTCTCTGCATTAGGACAGAGAGGAGCTGCTGCAGTGCTGCCAGCTACTGCTGACTCTGCTCACTGCTGCAGCGCCATAACACAAGCAGCATGTGGACAGTCTAATGTTCTTCTCATTCACTGTGCCTGGAGAGACCCTCTGTCATTTAGTGGGTGGAATATACAGTATGTAAACATCTATTGCACTATGTCCTTTTATTGTGCCCCAGCGGTCTGTTGTCTCTCCAGGCAGAGCTAACATTTTCCTGGGAGGCGGCTGCTGCTGTGTCCATAGAGGATTGTAAATTATATGACATTAACTAAACACAACCATTGGCCTTTGCTGCATAACTCAACACACAGGGGAGGCCCTCTCTTTTCAGTGACTTTTCAGTTGCAACTGTAGGCAGCAAATGGGTTCCTTTAAGGATTTCATTATAACATTGTTACATAACAGGATACATTTTGTAATATTACTTTTTCACAGATTGCCTAAAACCAACATTATAGTAGTTTATCGGTAGGTAAGGCAAACTGTCAACTAGGTAAAGCATAGAAGAAGAATTTTGAGTTAAAGTTAATATTAATAAGCTCATAGTTTTATGTGATGCAGCACATTAGGACACATTTTATCGTCACAAATTTTAATACCACTATAAGTCCAGTTTTATTTATTCTAATTAATTATTTTCTTCACCACCAGGTTGGGAACTACAAGCGGACAGTAAAGAGAATCGATGACGGTCACAGGCTCTGCAATGACCTCATGAACTGTATCCAGGAGCGTGCCAAAATAGAGAAGGCCTATGCGCAGCAGCTAACTGAGTGGTCTAAAAGATGGAGACAGCTGGTAGAAAAGGGTATGCAGCGTTTACTGAAAATAAATGCTTTCTACTCTTTACACTGAAAAATACTTGT